GTGTAAGTGGTTATATACCACTTCTTAGGTACACATTGACCAGAGAGCTTGTTAGAGTGCACATTCTGGTTGAACTATGGGATTCTGCATGTCTGTGAAGTGCCTTGTGTGGACCACACTTAAAATAGCAAGCAGGGCAAACCAGCATCATGGGGAGCCTCTTACTGGGGACACTTAGGCCCTTTGATAGAGGAGTGGCACACTGTCTCCTGAAGAGTACCAGGGAAGATTTTGGCTGGGGTGTTTGAAGGGGTTGGGATGTCTTTTTATAACTCTGAGGACAAAGAGAGAAAAGGCATATGGCATCTTTTCAGTGGCTTGCTCTGAACTCTGAGCCATGTTAATCTCTCAGGATCAGCCTGGCGAATAGCCAGCTGAATGGACTTCAGAAGAGCCACACTTGAGGCCTGGCCTGCAGCAGCAGTCTTCCTGGACGGTGGCCCAGGTAAAGAGCCAGCCCGGGCTGTGGAGGAAGTCACTGTGTTCTGTAAACACAGAGATACAAGCACATTGTCCGGTGTGCCACCCTATGAGTGCCATGCACATGTGCACACACACGCCTTGCCTCTTTATCTCATGCTTTATTTTCCATTGCACAGGATTTGGGAAAAATCTTCTCATCTGGCCAGCTGATTAGAAGTTTGAACCAGAGGGATGTTATGAGGGTTCGAATCAGTCATTTTTGTTAAAACCATTGTGTACCTTGGAAGGAAAGGTCCCTTCTCCTGTTTAGATTATGGTGTATATTTTGCCCCTCTCAGTCTTGGCTCAAGGCTAGGGGAAGCAGTCCCTGACAACTCAGCTGTCCATGATCCTTTTCTGCTTGGATAGCCTAGGAACATGCCTGTGATTTGGAGCAGTGGCACTATCTGAAATTTCTAGAGTTGCGATGTCAGGGGACAAGATAGAGGAACAGCGTATTGATTTCTCGAGGCATTTTCTAATCCTTGTAGGTGATAAATTTCCTTTTTTTCTGAGGCTTTTTTTTTTAATGCTGTGGGATTGAACTCAGAGTTTTGCATTTGCCAAGCAAGCTATCTGCTGTTGAACTACATCCCCTCTATTTCTGGTGAATTTTATGAAATGAATTACAGATAGCAGTAATTTACTGTATTGATGTGAATTCAGAGTTGGTGGGCATTTTGGGACCCCACCCTGTGACTCTGGGGTTCTCAGGTAGATGAGGCATTTCATGTTCCCCAGCGCTGAGAACTTGACATGTGAAAGGCTGAGGATGTTTCAGCAGTTTATGTCAGATTGCTAATTCTTCTCACCTGTGAAAACAACTGGCATTGTACAGAGAATCCGTAACTTGCCCCAGTGGCTGTAAAGCTCAGGCTCAGAAGCAAGGGGGAAATTGATCTCTTAATGTGGCTTTCTTCTCACTGTACTTTTTGTTCTGTGTGTCATTATGCATTTGAGTTAAGGCAGCCAAGGGCCAGCCAAACTGCCCTTGTGTGGGTGAGGAAGGCAGTGTGGTCTGCTTGGGAAAGCATTTACTTAGCTTTCCAAAGGGCTGTGGGTTCCAGCCCTGCTTCTGCTTGGATATTCTGCAACTGTGGTCCTCTGTGGTGAGGGCGGAGGATTGTGAGCTTCCCAGGGCAGCAGAAGAGGCTACAGGGCTGCTTGGGTAGGATCTCTCACTCTTGGGGGAACCTCGCTTCCCATCCTATCCCAGTAGGTCATCTTGATAGAAGCAAGTACAGTTCCTCCAATACTGACTGGCAAAGGGATGCTCCTTTGTGGGAGTGGATAGGTGCATCTCTGTCTCTCTGTGCCCCCAGGCATCCTTTGAGGTTTGAGTGTGGGAGGGGTTGAGCACAGGGACAGTGAGAATAAAGACAAGATGCCTGTGCATACCTGTGAACCCTTATACCAGGCCTCTGAGCAGGGTTAGTGACACTGTCCTGTGTAATGTCTTCTGGCCTTTGATGAAGTCCCCCTTTGAGGGTCTCAGGCATCTGCTGTGTGGTGTGGAGAACTTGTTTGCCCACTCTTCCACCCAGATAGAATGTTGGTGGGGGAGTGTCATTGTGAGGCCAGGGTAGGGGTGACAGGGTGAATCACTGAGACCCCAAGATAAAAGTGGCTCTCAGGATAGAGGGAGGGGTGCTAGGGCCTGCTGGATCCCTAAGGCAGTGGTCTAGGATCATAAACTCTGTTAGGCACCTTTTCTGCAGATACATAGTGGAAAATCCATTCTATTCAAGGCATGTGGGGGATGTTACATTTTATAATGTGCCTAACATCCTTGTACGGTGAATTCTATCTCCCTTCCAGGCTGCTGAAGATATGGAGCAGCTTATGTTCTCACTGAGCAGTAGCTTGGAATTTGCTCCTCTTTGAACATCAGTGTGGATTTCCTTTAAAGTTTCATTGCACAAGACCTTTTCCAAATGGTTTTACGCAGCTCAGCACAAACTGTGCTTGCTTAGGGTTGTTTTGTGTTCCCTGCTATAGATCTCCAGCAGACTACTTTCCAGAAACTTCATAAAACTGTAGGAATTAGTTTTATAACACCTGGAGGGAAACTTACTGCCACCCCCCACCATGCTGTATCCCTCAAGGCCCAGACCTGATTCTTCTGCCCTCTGGCGTGCCTTGATCTCTCTTTGTGGTCAGGAAGGGCCCTGTTGGGGATGGCTGTCCTCAGGCAGCTCTGAGGTTCGAAATGTGAGGTTGCATTCTTGGGCTCCTTAGAATGCAGACTGTAGTACTTTGTGTTGGGACTGAAGATGCAGGTTGTAATTCCTCCCTGCGGCTGCTTTCCCCGCCCTTTCCCCTGTGTGTAAATGTTGTCTATGTGGTGGGGTTGAGAGAAGGGGAGACGAGAAATGACATCTTTAAATTGCCCATTTTTACTGACAGTGCTCATATATACCATATATAATTAAATAAATTATGAATTTGTGTAAACACTGGTCAGGGTAAAACACAAAAACAAAAAACGAACATTAGCAGTGCCTGTAGAAGGTCCCTCCTTAAATCACAGCCTCCTCCCCCTTCCGAGGGGTAAACACTGTCCTGACCTCTAACTATTCTATAGTAAACTTTGCCTGCTTTTGAATTTCAGATAAATGGAGTCAGACCATAAATAAGCTATTGTGTCTGACATCTCCTGCTCAATGTTATATTTTTGAGATTCATCTGTGTGATTGCAGATGAATGCTGGTCACTGATTTTTTCATTGCTGTATAGAATTCTATTCCATATCCTATCACTGGGCGAGGCCGCGGATTGCCAATTCAAGCCCAATCTGGGAAATTTTGTGTGACTGTTTCAAAGTAAAAAATAAAATGCCTGCGTAGCTCAGTGTACAGACCATGAGTTCAACCCCTAGTATTGCAAAAAGACGCCCCAAAAAAACAAAAACAAAAAAAAACAAAACCACAAAACAACACAAAAAACAATCAAACCTCCAAAAAGCAAAAAGCAAAAACAAACGAAAACAAAAACTTTTGCATTACATTCCTGTACCGAGATTTACTTATCCACTCTAGCATTGATGGGCTTTTGGGTTTGTTCTTGATTTTGGGGATTACATATTCAGCTGTGAACATTTTGTGCATGTTGCTTGATAAGCATTTGTATGTATTTACGTGGAGTATATTCCTAGAAGTGGGATTACAGGGTTATGGAGTAGGCACACACTCAGCTTTATTAGAAATCAATGATGAGTTTTCCAGAGTGGTGTTAGCAATTTACTTTGCTGCCAGTGGTGTGCAAAGGCTGCAGTTGCTCTACATCCTTGCCAGCATGTGACATTTTTAGCCTTTTTGGTTTTAGCCTTCTAGTTAGTGTGAAGTGGTATCTCCATTGGATTGCTCTGGTAATTAATGTAGCTGAAAACTGGTCCATATATTTACTAGCCATATGGCTGTCTTTTTTTATGAGATACCTATTCAAGTCTTTGACTCACTGTTCTATTGTGTGTGTGTGTGTGTGTGTGTGTGTGTGTGT